GCCGGGCTCGACAAAACCCGCTTGCCCGATGGCCCCCGATGGCCCGGGGCAACCAAAATTCGCCCCGGGGCAGGTAGCTTGAAATTGCACTTCCCTGTTCGGGCAAGCAAGTTTTTTTATTGAATGGCTAGACATAACGAGATTTGAATTAAAAAACAATGCGAATGAGACAATCAGTGCATGCAGTCACACTTTGTACACAACATGCATACAGCAACATGTAAACCCGGCCTCCGTGATTTTGTCACCATTAGGAATAATTTGTGACCTCGTCGATTTCGCCAAAGCATAATCATGACTTTTGTTTGGGAAACACCTTTACGATAATTAGACACAATTTCTGGCTTCTGAGACATTATTAGAGTCAGTGCATCAAAATGATGAAAATTTTAACAAAATCATGCTATGAAAAAGTAGCTCTGGCCAAGCTTAAAATAGCTCCCGTAAACAAAATTACGAGAGCTCTTTTTTTCATACAAAATCAAAAAAGAGCTCTCGTAATAAAAAAAGTATTTTTTAGGCTGGTATACACTTACGTGGAATGGCTAATATGTGGTATAACATGTTCTCATTGGGATGCCTCACAGCAGTAGGATACATTCAGTAAAAGTTTTCAAAACTATACTATACTATAGTTTCTCAAAACCAAGAATACTAAAAACCGCCAGATCTGTAGTGGGATTTTCGTATGTATTTCACGTAGAAATGGTTATTTGTTTGCAATCAAATGTAATAACCAATCTTATATATGTTTGTGATTGCAGGTGTCTTCAGGCATGTATAGAAGGATGTGGTCACCGGTTCAATCCGTGTGTAGACCAGGCATTGCTAGATCTGGTGTTCAGTGTTCTAAAGCATACAAATCGCTTTGTGAGAGAGACTGGATACCAAGTGTGTGCTGCACTCGTCAGCGTTGGAGTTGGTACCGATGGTGGGTAGATAATTGGTATAGTTCCTACATGTAGCTTTTATGTCTTGCATGAGACACTCTACACGCTTACTTAATTACATCTACATGCACATTTGCATGCTGTTCACATATAAAGATATTGTGCTCATTCAGGTGTGACATTAAAGACGGACAATGCTGTCTACCAACATGGCGACCAATTTGCAGACTATCTTGCTTTGGGCTTGGCTGACAATTGGAGTCAGGTATGGCATAAACCTCTCGTTTGTGTTGTTCTACATTCTACACCACCAATTATTTCATCCATCAGTGTATCAGAATGTCAAAGACATTGCAGGGACAACACAAAATATTTAAATATGCAGTACTTTGATGTCTGATTTCTGTTGATGATAAAAGCTATCCTTTGCATATAGTTAAGGAAGTGTCAATTTTTATATTGGAAATAAACCATGTTCAACTGAAGTGTAATAGTGTAAAACTCGCATAAGTCGTCATCGTCTAACTCGTTAATTCGCCTAAGTTGTCATGGAAGTCAAAGTCCCGATTTTCTCATAATCCATTGGAATAGCCCCGCCTAAGTCATCTTTTATAAGCCATCATTATGTGCAAGTCGTCGCCCTCAGACAGGTCCCATGTAATACAAACAACAGTAATTTCCCATATGTAAAGCCCGGCGCACATGTGAGTAAGTTTACTCAAGGAAAATGTTGCATGCATCAAAATACTCACGTGTGCGGTGGATTTTCATTGAGTATTTTGACGCATGCATAATTTTACTTGAGTAAAATTACTCACGTGTGTGCCGCGCTTAAGTTGTCATCTGAAATGCCGATGGTGCAGTGTACAGTCTAGGGGATGTGCGAGTTGCAGGAGCCTGTGTGACTCCCTGAAAATTCTGCTATACTAACTAGTTTGTTCCAGAGCACAGCCTCGCGGAATTACCGTATTTTTTCAGGAAGTGTTCCAAGAAAATTTGGCAGATGTGCACCACAAATGTCCTGCAATGTCCAAACATGTAATCAACAGCGGGTGTTACAGATAGCCAGCGTGTGCCGCGCTTGCCGCTAGTGCGTACGATGTACGTGCGTTATGGCCAGCAGCGGTGTTGATTGCTGTATGGACCCAATTGTTCCATGTATGTGGCGCGAACTGACATCGTGTGTGGAGAATGTTTATGACTGTTTAGGGGTGACCGGCTCCTGGGAGGGGAGCCCTACATATAAGTCGACAAAATGATGACTTCCGCGTATGTCATCATTTTCGTAAGTTGGCACAAATATGCTGGTCCCATTAGTTTCGACTTATGCGAGTTATACTGTATGTTGGAATCTTTGGAGGCAGTACACTGGAATAAGAATAGACTAATGGTGTGTGTGTGTGTGCAGTGGTTATGATGGACTGATTGTGGCAGGTGAGGCTAGCGGCGTCGATAGCAACGAGAAAGTTCATGTTGAGCCTACCTGGTGAAAAGGAGCGAGAGCTGTTCTTCCCAAAACTACTGCCGAAAATGTGTCTCAACAGGTAATTAGTATAAGTTATAAGAACTATGAACGTATATTATCAGGTGTAAGATAATACACATGAACATACCATGAATAATATATATACTGTATATCTAACAGACCACTATACTAGCGCTCATAAGGTCTATGTCTCCCTGGGTACTGCCAAACACTGCGGCTGCTGTTGTTGTTGCTGTTACTAATGTTGCTACTAACGTCTGTTATTGTTGCTGCCATGATTGTTTGTTGATTGTTGATTGTTGATATTATTGATTGTTGTTATTGACAACAGTGCTCCCCTCGCATGCAGAAGGTCGGGGGTTCGACTCCCGGCCGGGTCATACCAAAGACATTTAAAATTGTACACACTGCTTCTCTGCTTAGCACTCAGCAAATAGAGATAGATCGTGGAAAGTTAACTTGCAGTGCTACCAGTGGACTAACCCCTCGCTGTAGTATTTACTGTGAAAGCAGCTGCGTGGCCTCGGGTTAAGGAAACGGCGATAGGCACCGCCCTATGCGCCACATAGGCGCGGGGAGGATTTAAATTTTAACTTATTGACAACAGCAGCCGGAGTGTCCGGCAGTACCCACAGGGAAAAAAATATTATTTATTTTTCGGGGGCTACTTTTCAAACTCGCGTGCATGAAATAGCACTCTAAAATTTGGTTTGCATTGAACTCTATGCAAATTTACGGGGGCTCTTTTTGGCATTTCCGGGGCTCTTTTTGGCATTTCGGGGGCTAAATCGCCCCGAGCCCCCGTGTATTTTTTTAATTGGTACCCAGGGAGACATAGACCCTATCAGCTATACTAGCTATTCCAGCAATGGTGCCATTTCATAGTTTTCGTAAAGCACCACTAGATGGCACACAATAAGTAGAATTAGTAGAGTACTGTGGTTTCTATTCATTTATTTCTATGTACCAATGGTTGGTACATGCACAATATAATTGTATAATAATATTGATGAGTCAAGTCTACAGCATTTCTAAAGTCACAGTATTATACATTGCTATGCTAGACTGGAAATGATGCAACTTGACTACTTGAGTCAACAGTGTTAATTCATACTGCACACTGGTGCAGCCTAGAGTGGCACATGGAGGCCATTGTCGAAAATTATGAAACAGTGTTAGAACAGGCTGTATGGTGATCTTTCGTGTGTTCATTGTATAGATATGTTCATGCTCAAACTTGCATTACTGGTATTGTGTATGGAAATAGTTTTTTATGGTTGGTGCACACCTAGCTACTAAAACATGTTGGGAATAAAATATTGTGAATTGAGAGGTCCAATTGCCACCAGTTAAATATTCCCAGCGACGGAGTTTCCACATCTAGCATGTGCAGTATGCTATCTACAGTTAGTACACATTCTTTTCCCACAGGTTGGCTATACTATAGGCACAAGATACTAGGTATTTGGTTGAGATTAGTAGTGGTAGGTTGTAAATATTTTTAGTGAGCTTTGTACAAAATGCTGGAAAAGTTCAGGTGTTTATTTAGATAGATAGCGATTAGTCTGCGAGTTTATCTCTAATATTGTTGTGCAGGTATTATGTGGCAGAAGGAGTAAGGATTTACTCTCAGGAAACTTGGCGGCAGATTGCACACACCCAAGGTTGCTACCTAGTCGAAAAATATATTGCAGATGTGGTAAGACATTTTTTGCAAGGCAGTAAGGTTAACTTTTGATTTAAATATTAATCATATTATCTTCAGTATACTGAGCTATGCTGTTTTAACTTCTGGTTAATGTTACGTTACATGCACAATTCCGCATGTGCAGTAATTGTGATTCGCATGATTTCTTTTAGCAAGAATACTACATAGCACAGACAAAGGCTGACAACCATGCTGTGAGAGAGGCTGCATGTGCATGCATAGCTGAACTAGGCTCAAAGGTACACTGTTTACACATTGTGGGATGGCAAATGCTCAACATTTATAATATATTTCGTGTGTAACAGAAAACTTGTTACAATATGGTTATGTTCAACTGTAATTCACAAAATGTTTTATGTCGTAGGTTCGTTCTACATATATACGCAATTAGATACAGAACTCGTAGATTATGTAACAAGTACGTCTATTTAGCAGAACCATGCTTGCCTCACTATATCAGCCAGTGCTGCCATCTATTGTTACACATAACAACAATGACATCCCTTTCTTTCTGAAGGTTAAAATTGAACTCAAATTTCACGAATACAGTACTGTGTAAAAACAATGATATGGCTCTACAGAAAATGTTCATAAGTCTAGTCTTTCAGATGGCTTCACTTTTCTGGCTGGGGTAGCTGGAGGTGAATCGGGGGTAGCTGGAGGTGAATCGGGGGTAGCTGGAGGTGAATCGGGGGTAGCTGGAGGTGAATCGGGGGTAGCTGGAGGTGAAGTGCGTTCCTGCGATACGCTCTCAGTAGGCAGAGAATCAGTCGATGGGAGAACTGGTGCATTCTCTGATGCGATGTCTGCCTGGCCGCTACTGAAGCTTTCTCCTGTACGGTGCAACTGGCATCGATTCCGCTTGAATCTGCTTCCATTTGTCGCCACAACATAGGAGCGATTATGTTCATTGGTTTTCACCATTCTAGGTTCCCAGTGATGGCTGTGGGGATCTAGTACACATACAGAATCACCTGGGGATAATGCCTCTGGAACTCGCCGTGGTGTATGTATCACCGGTGGCACTGTGGGGTCGGAGGTGGCGTGAAATTCACCTTTGAAACACCTGATGCCTTCGAAACAATCCTTGTGTTGACGCAGTAGTTCAGCTTTAGCAGCAGGATCACCTGTAGTCTCCTGTGTAGCTGTTGTGTCTTGTTGCGTAGTAATGCTGTAGTTCAGCGTAACTAGCTTCATATCCCGGCATGTAGGGAGACTCAAGATAGTTGGTCCATCAGCATTGACTACATGGAATGGGTATGCATTGGAGCATCCATTGTGAGTGAGGGTGAGCATACATGTACCGTAGTGCTGTATGGATTGACATCCAAATGCAGTAATCTTAGTATCAGATGGTGTTAATCCGATGATTGTACCATTAGAGTCGCAGCGTTGGTCTGGACACAGCTGTTTGTACGTGCTAATCGGAATGACGTTTCCTTCTGCTCCCATGTCAATTTTGCATATCAACGGCATGTTGCATCCTCCAGAATTCACGTGTACCTTGAGTACTGTCTGTGTATCGTAGATGGATCTTACACTATCAATCTGCAGTGGAGTACAGTTGTGTGCTAACTGGCCGGTCATCACTGTGCCCAGTGCCAATAGTAGCTAAAGCTAAGCTATGTATATACCCTGTTTGTACTTGGGCCTTGAGTCTTTGGCTTGGTGGTAACCAGTTTTCGGCTTGAATCCTTGCCCTCCTTTCGCGGTCTTGAAGGAGCGGCATACAGATCGCCAGTGGTTACTTTTGCCACATGCTTTGCATTTAGTTCCGAAAGCAGGGCACATCGATCTTTGAGATCGGTCATGGAAGGTGCCGCAGCTTCCGCAAACACTCTTCTGTCTGCTCTGATACTTGTGTGATGGGGCTTGATGCGGACGGTCCATGTGCTTCATTGCGTCTACTCTAGTATCTGTGCATCTAATTTGCAACTGGTTGTTCGTTGCTTCCAGCATTCTGGCAACATCGATGGCTCTATCAAGAGTTAGAGTGTCATCGTATTCCAGCAACTTTGCCTGAACACGGGGATTGTTGCAGCCAAAAATTAGAGTGTCAATAATGTGTTCGTTAGCATTACTGAACTTGCATTCGTTGACTAGAGTGCATATTTTCTTCAGGGAGAGATCTACACACTCACCAGGTTCCTTTCTCAATGTGCATAATTTGTATTTAGCCAAGCGAAAGTTGCTCTTGGGTCCAACGAACTCCCCAAATTTTCTCCAATCAGTACTGAGCTGATTCTTTTCATCATTTGTTAAATTCCACGTGGAAACGAGCTCCATACCCTCGTCGCCTGTTGTCCATATCTGCAGATAGCTGATTTTCTCTGTCTCGCTTTTGTTCTTGAGTGGTCCGTCGAAGTAAAGCTCACACATTTTCCTGAATTTCTTGAATGCTTGCAGCGCATCAGGTGAAGGCCAGTCCATTCTAGGAAACACGGTATTCTTGCCAATTCCGCCATTGCAGCGTAAACAATGAGCACGTTGATATCTCAGCTACGTTGTCACACTCGTGATAATATTAACACTGTTCTAGTGATATAATTGTCAACTATGCGACTGGTATGCTGAGTACATACTACTGACGAGTTGTTCCTGATCCCATTTCTGACACCATGTCGTAGTTTCGTACTACGGATACGCAATTAGATACAGAACTCGTAGAGTATGTAACAGCCAGTGCTGCCATCTATCGTGACATATAACATAACTATGACATTTTAATTATCAACTAGGCTAACTGTACTGTGTGATGACAGTTCCATGCAACAATAAACCATTTTGCAGTTACTTGCTGTGAAGAAACAAATAATCAATGATAACAATTACTTTTACAATTAGAATACATTACAATGTAATTGATCTGCATATCATGAATATAAACTGCAAAAGACTAAAAATTATATGAAGTTTCAAATTGGCTTGTTTGTATTCATGCTTAACTGGTTCTGTGTTAACTTTTATGTCTCGGGTTTTAGATCAAGCAGGATGCTGTAAGACCTTTTGTTCCTCCTCTACTTGATGCCTTACTCGTCTGCTTCAATGATGACAGTTGGCCTGTACGTGATGGTAAGCACACACCGTGTACTGATTCACCACATACACTAGTTGATATCACATCTACCTGGATATATCATTGACCACACAATTGATCTCTTTTACTATTCCAGCAGCAGATATTAGAAAAGCAGAAATATGTTAATTTTAATTCCTGTGTGTATATAATTTTCAAGAGGAACATTCTAGAACTCAAATGTACGTAATGATACCGATTCCTCAAATACATTATATTCGTACATATTTCTATTATCATATGTATTGTTTTTAAACATAAAAACTCAACAGGGTAACATTATGATTATTTGTTTATTCCAGCCGCGTGTCTTGCGTGTGGCAACTTCATATTCTGCTTCCCGGATGAATCTAAGCCATACCTTTGTCAACTGTATCCACTCTTCTTTTCGAATCTATCTGACGTAATCCCATCTGTCAGACAGGGGGCAGCATCAGCACTGGCAAACATTGTCCGCGTCTACAGTAAGATTCAGTTTTATTTCCTCTTCATGCTCTAAAGTAACTCTAAAATCTGATTTTCGTTTAATTGCCCATAGATGTCAACATGTGTCACCCCGTCTGGTTAGAATATTTCATACTTTTTATCAGTCGTTAAACAATGGTATAATGGCTGTATGATAATGTGGTGTGTTATTTTATCTATTTGAATGATTTCCATAGAGTGCGAAGCCATAGAGAAAGTTATTTGCAAGATCACGGAGGGCTTAGAGAATGTCAAGATGCAGGAAGAGACACAAGAGAAGTATGGTGGACTGGAAAAAGGTCCCGCCACATTTGGAGTTGCAAAACGAGCTAGAGACAATGATCCTGAGCTTCATTCCAATCAACTTGTAAGTAATTTTCAGTAGCGAATACAACAGGTACTTTTGAAGTTTGATAGTTTTATGAACAGGCAACTGAACGTAGTCGTTTCTACTTGGTAAAGTTATATGATTCCGTGTATGTTTTTGGTTTACTCAGATGTACTCCTGTGGCTCTCTTGCACCAAAGATGAGAGCTGGTGGCTGCATGGACCATCAGTTTCGTAGACCCCCGGAGCCATGGGAAGTCGGAGATGGGTAATGAATGTCTCAATGCCAACAACAGTTGCATGTTTACTTTTATTATAGTTTTTAATTAAACATAACTGTATGTATTGTAAAAGTGTGTCCATGTCCCCAGTTCTACAGGAATGCCTCTATTTTCGAATATAATGATTTATGTGCAACTGAGCATATGAACTAGCAGTAGACATTTCTTGCTCACGCCTGTCCTTTCTTCATTGAAGTTGTGTTCACATGATGGCGGAACTGGCAAGTATATCAGAATGCAGCAAAGAAGTATTCGATCTGCTACCTGTGCTGGCCAAGGCCAGTGGACTACATCACTATCACCAGCACTACGTTTTTCTCGAGTCATTGTGCAAGCAGGTGAATTTATATGCCTGGTGCTTTCAATCTAGTGTTATTATCAGAAGTTGCTATCATTGTTAGGAAAATATATTCAAAGAAAATCTGCCAAATGCAAAGATAATGAAATTAGAGGGTGTGGTAAGGCCAGTGACTCAAGTAGGGTATAAAAAGTAGCAGTTAATATGATACTATTACTGTTCTCTGGTTCCATCTCAATTTTTTTATTTTCTTTATATTTTCTTCAGCTTCCAATAATTGCAAAAGGGGTAGGAAAGAAGATATTCAAAACCCACCTGGAGTTGTTTTTAGACCCAGTCTTCTATGCGCTGGTATGTACACGAATGCTTGCAATTAAATGCTGAAATATTTATGTGTTGAATGCTCACATTCATGCTGTTCTCATTTGAATAATTTGATTGAATTAGTGATTGAAACAAACGTCAAGTCGGTGGTCATTTACTATCATATTGTTGCAGTCGTGTGACAATGCTCTGGCATCAAGCGCAGCCAGTACATGTCTGAATGAGCTGAGCAAATTGCTGGGACCAAGCATTCTCAGAGCCAGAGTGGAGAACTTCAACCCCAAGTATGTTCTGCCTAGTCATTATAGCCACTAATTGGCTCGCCTACAGTCATATTGCCACAAGTAATTATGTGACACACAAGTATGTGTTAGCTATTTATGTATCATTCATTCAGTATGATGCTGTAACTTTTTCAGGTACCTGGAACCTTTTGATGCAAACACATACATTTCTTCATACTAGACCAGCTTGTGTGTACTGTCAAGCCAGCTTCAGCATCACCAGTTTGTATTGGTAAACGTCATGTGAATATATATCTTCTCTCTCGGAAAGTATGCTATGATTAGAGTGAGTTATTGGATACGTGACTTCATAACACTACAATTGCACTTATTAATTATATTATTTAGACTAATAGATGTATAGACAATCTCAATTTGGTTTTGTGCTTTACGGACTGTTAGATTGTTAAGAAAGTAATTGTATCCCCTGCGACGAAGTCGGCGGTGATACTATGGTGTCATGTCTCCCCAGCCGCTGCCGCCGCTCGGTCCGCCGCAGAGAATTTCCCTGCCGCTCTATAACTCGACCCCTAATTGACCTAGCGCTACCAAACTTGGTATACTTACACATCTTGGGGAGAAGGTGAGCAGCGTACCAAAACCAGGTCACTGCGACCTTTACCTTGACCTTGATCATATTTCCCTTTCGCTCTATAACTCGGCCCCTAATTGACCTAGCGCGACCAAACTTGCTATACTTACACATCTTGGGGAGAATGTGTGTCGCGTACCAAACCCAGGTCACTGCGGCTTTTATTTGGCCTTGATCATATTTCCCTTCCGCTCTATAACTCAGCCCCTAATTGACCTAGCACGACCAAACTTGGTATACTTACACATCTTGGGGAGAAGGTGTGTCGCGTACCGAAACCAGGTCACTGCAACCTTTATTTGACCTTGACCTTGACCTTCATCATATTTCCCTTCCGCTCTATAACTCGGCCCCTAATTGACCTAGCGCAACCAAACTTCGTATACTTACACATCTTGGGGAGAACACGAGGGATACATGTAGTTGGAGACAACTGCTCTTTCTAGTTTTAGAGAAGTATTGTGAGTAATGTAGCTGTGATTATATGTTCACGTTATGGAACACATGGGAAATCGCCTTATATTATTTGCTAGACCACAAGGTAACCATTATTACCACATTGGTTAATTTCATTAACAATATGGTTTTGTATGCGAGTGTTAGTTCAAAGTGGTTCCCTATATCCAATATATCCACCCTATTTACTTTCAATTTATAATTAAATATAAGAGGGTAAAGAAGTGATTTTTGTTCATATATTTGCTCGCAATCATAAGACCAATAAAATCATTCATTACATAGCCTGCCTAAGTATATAGTTAGTGTTGTAAATGATGTCCAAGTTGTTATTGAAAAATACTTGGCACATTGTAAAATTAATATTCTTTGTAGAAGATGGTGCTAAAACCTAGAGCAGGGCTCAATTTTAACAGCTGTCTGGTCGTCCGTGAAGACTGGATTTTCTCTCGGGCAACTACAAATTGCTTCCGTGGTTGTCCGGTGTCCAACCTCTATAAAAAAATGTATATTCATAATGCGCGCGTTCATTTTACATACGGCCAGGGTTGCACAATACGCTGCAACCGTACATGTCTAGAAGCATTGTCTGGCTTGCTTGATACAAAGTATAACATCACGTGTTTAACAACACAATGTTTCGTGTTAATTTTCAATTTTTACTCATCTGTACTCACTTGACACAGTGTTAGTAATGTTAGTAGTGTTAGTTAACTTAATGTAAATGTTATGAAATAAATTTCATGCAACTTTTACTAATAATATTACTATTATTATACGTCATTGATCCCAGCATCATTTACCACATTACCAATATTTTATTCTCTTCATATAATGAGTGAAACAATGCGAATGGCCATGTCTGCTGTCACTGCAATACGTAGAAAATGTACATGATAAGGCCTTTTGCTTTACAGCACTGAGCATCACGTGAGCAGAGCGCATGCAGCACATGTTTAAATAATATCCGGACAACCAAAACTCTTGAGGGACAACCATATGCTACTCTCCTGGTTGTCCTCCGGACAACCCCAAACAACCCTTAAAATTGAGCACTGCTAGAGTGGAAACTAGTTTTATGTATATGGTAAACTTGTTCATCGATATTAGTTTTACAATATCTAACAAGGGACATCTCCTTGAATGCCCCCTATTACCAGAGCCCTGTAGACTTTGAGGGTTTCAACCACCGTGCCAGGTCCGGTGTGCTGCAGTGGCTAGGTCGAGTGTGTAGTGTAGTGACCCGAGAAGAGGTTTACAATTGTTTCAATGACTGTCGAGGTGAAAAAAGTGCTTGATCGAAATCTCCATCGTGGTGCCCATTCCTTCCTGCCTGTATTTCTGAACATGTAAGCAAAAGTTGGAATGTCTCCATGTACTTGTCTCATTTTTTGCAGTGACATAATTATATGTTCATGAATAATGTGCTTAGATTTTTGTTGTATTTTCTGCATTGTACTACTGTTGATTAAGCAAGGAATTCTACAACCTCCATAGCCAGGGCCTCTAAACCCTGACAAACAACACACAGCATGCACGCAGGAAGTTCGCAGAAACTGGCAATGATAAAATTTAAGCATAAAAATGTTTAAATCACCCCCAAGAAGGCACGCCTGTACCGATAGCTAAAGCAGCATTAAACAATTCGAGCTAAACTTTCACAATGAGGAACTCTCGAGGGGCAAAACGTCACTGGAATGCTAACCTTTGTGTATTGATACAAAAAATTCACATTTTTTACAATTCAAAATACTACAAATTATACAAAAATTGTATAGATCAGTGGATAGTTACGAGTATACTTCTTTAGTGACAACTAAACAGCAGTACAGTGTTGAATCAATTTCTTGTATAACATGCCATCAAAACAGCATTTAGAAAAAAAAGCAAAATAAAAGCAACATGAAGTAAGTATTGCCAAATTGTGTAATTTTTAATAGTTTGAATGTTGAATAGACATGTTGGAACCATGAATTTAAGAGACATGTGCTGCAAATAACTTATTGATCCAGATACTGTGCATAAAAGAGCAATCTATCGAGTGAACTTCCTTTTTAGACCAACAGTACTGTCAAATAGCTTGGTATTGTGAAAAGCACCCTTCTTTACATCCATCAGATAAAAAAATGTTCGGCCTTTCACTTTGAGTGGCACTGCTGCCGTTGCACTCTGGCGTGCAACATAACATGATATTTCAGCAAGGTCTTTGATGAAGGGTCTTTTGCGGGCTAAAGCTCCATATGTTGTGATTCTCACTGCCTGTCCACCCTTTAACAAGTGTAGTGTATGGATGGTCCGCAAAGGATAGAACAAGGAGCCGAAAAGAATTGTGTACCCTGTAAAACAAACAAATGTCCGAATTTAAGCAGATTTGAAATATTTTGACATTTTTCATTCAATTCCATTCAGGTCAGGTTCAAATCTCTCAAATAATTCAAGTAAACTAACAAAATTATACCAAAACAAACCAGAGGTGTGATTGCTGGGGTTTGATAACAAAAAATGAACTGCCAGCCCAGGGGCCTGGGAGTAAGGAAGCATTTTCTTGCAATCTGAGCCATTTCCTGGCATCGAGAACTTTGAAATAATTTTTAATTTCCCTGCTATTAATTTTAGTCCCGGTCTAGAGTGAACATCATTTTTGTAATATAAAATTTTTTTTTTTTAATTGTTAAATTTTTATTACAAATTTGGACGTTTCACAAAATCGACCAGGGGCTGTTAAGAAAGCAGAATTCCGCCAAGAAACGGAAAAATCACACATCTGTTTTTTTCTATTTTTTAGTGATGGCATATATATGCCAGACAGATCTGTGTATTAGACAGGGTTTCTTCTACATAGGAGGCACTGCGGCGCACCGCCGTTGTCAAATTTAACAACGCCATTGTGAAAATGTTCCTGTATTTACCCGCAGTTGTCAAAATAGTTTCAATCCAAAAATAAACAGATACGTAAATAACACAACGTGCTTCTGACTATATACATGGGAAATCGTAATGAAATTCACAGCAACGTTTCTTTTTGCGTGCCGGCACACTCGATCCTGTGTCATCCCCGATTGCAGCTTTTTCCTCGATTCCGGGAAAGTTTTGCTGTCGCTCCCTCATACCAGCGGTGTCCACCCCTACATATACAGCAATAAGCATGCCCACGCGACTAACAATCAGTGAATTCGCCCCCACCCGTACTTCAATGAATGCCACCCCAGCCAGCAAGCACGAGCCACGATGTGCACAGCCACGGACGTGGGTAACACTAACAGGCAGCATTCGAAATTAGTGCCGACCCGGAGGCCTGAGGCCACCAAGTTTTTGCTTCGGCCACCAACTCTACGAAACTGCCGGTCCTCCTGACCGGCACTTTTTCCCCTCATATTACGCTGAAATACTACGGTTATCGCAACGGCAGTTTAGACAGACTTTTAAACGGTGGCGCATTCTCTGTTCCGTAGACGGGGTATCCAAAACATCTAGAGCCTGAAGATCCAAAACATCTGGGCATGAAGTCACTCAACGCATGATTCGCCACACGAACAAAACCTCGTGACAGTAAAAAAAAATCGATTGCGGCATGTATAGTAGCGTAGCCCAGTGTTTTTATGACTGCATAACAATAAGTTCATATGTCGCAGGGGTTATCGTGGGGAGTGAGGGAACGACCAGTGACACCTGACACGCACGTAATCAAAGCTGTTAACTGAATTCGTCACCTTTCTTTATGCAGAAAGTGGACTATTTTTATTCAGTTAGATATCTAGAAGCAATGTAAACTGTATATACTTCTATTCTTTCATCAAAATTCTAGGCACTTGTAACTTTGCGGATATGCGGCAGCATTGATCTATGCATGGGGGTACCGAGGGCTGGGGAGGCGTAAATCGAAAGTAAAACCTTTCCCAGAAGCTCCCCCGACATTCCTAGAGTTGAAATATATTATTTGACCAACTCTAAGTTACATGTATGCTGTTGATGCCAATGGTTATTTTTGTATACTATTTTGTTACTCTCTGCTAGTAAATAAGCGGACCACCAACTTTTGTGCAGGACCACCAACTTTCTGTCCAACAACCTGCTGTCCACTAGATTTTCAGCCAAAATTCGAACTCTGGTAACAGGGGTGTCGCGGGCTGCTTTTTTTCTTCTTTTTTTTCTTTTGCGTGAATGTGTGAGAATGTGTAGGGCATGCAGGAGTGCGGGAGAATGGGTCCAGATGCGTGAGTATCCCGCGAAATGCTCAGCGTGAGATTTGGTAGGTCAGTAGTAAGATTTACAGTATTCAATAGAGTAAGATTTAAACTAAAAGGTGAAATTTTATTTTCGGGGTACCTCAAATGCAGTCTAAGTCATTCACATTTTTAAAATTTTGCTGGGGGAAACCCCCAGAACCCCCCTCTACCTCTCTCCCCCGCGTCTGCCTGCAGAATCGACATTCGTGCCTACTGCACGCCTTTGAATCCATCATTTGCGTTTTTCCCCCAAACTGGCCATTACCGCCATTGTCTAATTTCCCCTCAGAAGAAATCCTGTTTAGATGTGTGAAAATTAAATATATAACTTGTTAAATAAATATACCGAGTGCAGTGCACAGCATTGTAAGACCAGTCCTAATCTTGTTCTCTCCAAGGTTAATATTCTTCCACCAAGCGACAGTGTTTCCATCAGTTTCAACCACTTTCTGATTCGTGTCAGCATCATTCGATTCATTGCCTTCTTTGCTGCTGCTAATATCACGCAATGATGAGTATGCAAAGTTACTCATATACATCCAGAACAGGAACTGCGACGCACCGAATATAGTCAGTAATCGAAAAAACCTGTCATTAGTGTAGGAATACAATAGAACGTCAGTCGGCACATTTGCGTCCACCTCAAAGTGGGTCATTTTTGGTGATTTGGACTTGGTACTGGTAGTGGTAGCGTTCCTACTCACACCATGGAAGAGGTTGCGGTTGCACGGAAGAAGTATCTTGAAATAATTAATGCAACCAAGTTTAGCAACTGAATGCATCAGCGAGCTTCTCAACAGCAAAGCCATTTTGTCGTAATTCAACAACAGTAACTTAGATGGTGAACTTCCTACTTCGCCGAGTCGAATGCCGCAAGTAAGCCACGGCGTAAGAAAATGATCACAAGTAATACAACTACTAAGTATGGAGCCACACTGCACTAGGGTGAAGTAGGCTGTCGCGTGTTTCCACAATCATGCCAGTTTACGAACAATTAGCACTGCACATGTTTTTTTTAAGTTTTTGTCTGTATATTATCTATGATATTATAAACGGTAGTGAAAAACGACGATTTTTATGCGCGCTGCCATATTTGACCGCAAAAACATGCAGCGACACTCAGCGGCGGAGTTACTGACAAGACGAAATACAGAAAAGCACCGAAATGCCACACCAAAATTCCCCGAAAGGCACCCACAAATCGTCGGCATCAAACTTGTATGTGGGTGTGAGTGAACACACGAACGAACAAGCGAAAGCTCACACAATCAGACTTCCACACTGTCGCATAGAGATATATAATCTTCAACGATTTACTTCTAATAGGTGGTGATTGACTCATCTATTATTTTAATTTTATAACAGTAAATTGGTAAAGGATATATCAACAACCTTGCTCATAACATAGCTATGTTAATAATAAATAACTATAGCTTAACGTGACACGCTACAACGCCAGGAGCAGCTAAGTTCATGTACGCTTAAAACTTGTGACATCACTATATGCATGAGTAATTAGGCGACAATAAATAAAACGACCTCGTAAATAAAGTGGCCTCGTAAATAAAACATTGTTAACATAGTCTTCCAAGTCCAAGGGACTATACTATATCGAAGACGGAAAGAGTCTATGAGATAATTATAACTTAAGTTGATCAAATAGACAGATCAACACTGCCGATCGCCTCAAATTGTCTATTTACGAGGAAGGGAGAGAATTCCAATACGGAATGAGAGACACAATTAAAGGAGCTAAACTTAATGGGATCCTTAGAAGCTGGCACATGTTGAAAACAATTATCATGTTCAGATGATGAAGTGCAACGAACAGGCTTCATCAAGCAAGAGGGAATGTCAATTCCTTCACCTGACCAGACCATGATAAATTTTATGGATAGTAAACATAAAACCCGTAGCAACTGATAAAGGAAACCGATATATACATACGAAAATAACACGCATGCTAAGTTATAACCAGACTGCAGAAGCGTATACGCTACGTAGCAAACCAATTTTTCCTGGAGGGGGGGGCAAAGCCATGTACATGGTGTGTTCTGGGAAGGTGACCGCCTTTGACCATGTATTGTATCTATTTTTTCTGGGGGGGGGGGCAACTGCCCCTATAGATGCCCCCCGACTATAGCTACGCCCCTGGAGTCACTGAGATATATGCTTATATTTAACACATGACTCAAGTTGACTACGGACCATTAACAACAGCAATAGCTATTTAGCTGACTGTGTTATGATGCGCAATTGTGTTTATAGGGAGCAGTATGAGAAGGGAGTTCGATTTGAGGAGCGGCCGGGTTAATTAAAGAAACAGCATGTCAATTTATGGAAAGGAATTCAAGCAGGTATTAATTGGTCGGTATTGGATACGGACATACATGATTTTTATAACAATACGGCCAGGATTTATAGATGAAGTGAGTATATATAATCACCGTCTTTTAGAGTCTTGTGGTACGTACGCATCTAAGAAGCAATAAAGTATTTAAAGGGACAGTAGCCTCTAGGATTTTACTGCATACAACTGTACTTACTGTATAACAAATCGTCTATACCCACATGTATTTGTCACCAG